GTACAAAGAAAAGCGCATTAGATATACTCGTATCTTCCACTGGAGCTACTTCAATATTATAAAACTGTACGAAAATATCTGCATACTTACGCAAAAACACCGATAACAGAGCGCACACAGAATAAAACAACGCGCCTCACACCGCAGCCATCGGATAACTGAATCGTTCCTATATATAAAAAAACCGGCCAAGTGCGAGTCGGACTCGCGCACCGAGGGTTCCGGACAAATCCGTAGGTCATCATTCATCATTACAGCCCTTCACAAGTCCACTGCTGAACATAGGCCTCCCCCAAAGAATGCCACAAAGCACGGTCCTGAGCCACCTGCATCCATCGACTTCCTGCATGTCTTACCAGGTCATCACTCCATCTCGTGAGGAGACGCCCTACACTTCGCCTACCGGTACGAGGCTGCATATCGAGAACATTTCTTCCCCATCGGTTGTCGGTTCTTCGAGCTATATGGCCGGCCCACTGCCACTTCAGCTTACTAATTCGTTGGGCTATGTCGGTTATTCTGGTTCTACTGCGGATATCCTCATTCCTAAGTTTATCACGCAGAGAAACTCCGAGCATAGCCCTCTCCATAGCTCGCAGAGCGACCTTGAGCTTCCTCATACGGCCAGCAGTGAAGGACCACGTCTCAGTTCCGTAAGTCATCACAGGCAACACGCACTGGTTGTACAATGTCGTTTTAAGGTTTTGAGGTATGTCTGACGAGAAGATGTGTCGTAGCTTCCCGAACGTTGCCCAGCCGAGTTGAATCCGTCGATTGACCTCTCGGTCGAAGTTGGACTTACCTAGTCGGACTATTTGTCCCAGGTAAACATACTCGTCAACAACTTCGAGCTTAGTGCTCCCAACAACTACCGGCATAGGTGTGACATGGACATTAAACATGATCTTTGTTTTGTCCATGTTCATCTTAAGACCTATCCGTTGGGAAACACTATTGAGGTCATTAAGCATAGTGCTTAGGTCCTCCAACGATTCTGCCATAAGGACTATATCGTCGGCAAATCGAAGGTGAGTGATGTATTCGCCATTGATGTTGATACCGTATCATTTCCAGTCCAGAAGCTTGAAAACGTCTTGAGTTTCGGGGATATGACGTCACCCTGTCTTACACCTCTCTGCAATTGGATAGGTTTCGTACTCTGGTTCTGTACTCGGATAGCCATCGTAGCCCTACTGTACAAGCACTTCAACACTTCGATATACCGACAGTCAACTTGGCACCGCTGAAGGGACTGCAGCACCGCCCAAATTTCGACGGAATCAAAGGCTTTCTCATAGTCCACATACGCCAGACATAGTGGCAAAATGTACTCTTCGGACTTCTGTATAACTTGCCGAAGGGTATGTATGTGGTTTATGGTGGTAAAATCCGTAGGTATATAAGTTTAAAATTATTAAAAATATTTTTATTATATGATGTAACTAAAAATTTATGCTTTTCGCAATTTTTCCTTTATCTGCGCTATAATACGTTGCTTCGTACCAAATTTTAAGATTCTGAGTTCACGGGAAGTACCCTATAGGTTTTGATTCCCTTGCAAATGTCGAAAATTTGCGGCATAAACGGCTGTACCTTTTGATTCCGTTAGCTTAGAAGTTTAATTTTTTGACAGCTCCAAGGGACAGTAGACTTGAGTTTTTGATTTGAATTTCAGCTTGATACCTCCACACGTTCCTGAGAAAAAGGTCTTGATAGACAGACAGACAGACAGACAGACGGAGAACAAAGTGATCCTATAAGGGTTCCGTTTTTTTCTTTTGAGGTACGGAACCCTAAAAAATACTCTGTGCTGAATCGTGTAAGTACCCGCGCCACAACCGCCGCAAGCCGTACCGATAGAACAGTAGATATTTATGATGAAATAGCGCCATCTCTTGGTATTTATCCGGCTTACTATAGTAACAGAATGTAGCTCTAATATTTTATAGACCTTGGGACAAATTTTAAAATAGTCGTATAAGCTTCAATTAATTTATTTAATATGGATGAATTATGTTTTTAAGAGTGTTATGATTGATTTATATTTTATATTCTTTATTACACTAGCTTTCAAACATAACAATTACATTAAATTGATAAAAAGATATTATGATTTTCGCATAATGCACTGCATATGGGACAGAATTTTCTTGTATGGAAAACACAAAGATGTTTTATTAAAACATCTTTGGGAAAACAACTATGTTACCAAGAATGACCACTATGTTACTTGATAAAAATGGTGATAAATCAATAATAAAATTCATTTTTCTTGAGAATAAGTTTAGTAATTCGCCCCATATTTGAAAAATTCAAGAACATTATAATAATTTAATTAATATCACCGAGAAGAAAATATTTTAACTCAGGGACGACTTTATCTGCAACCAATTTTAAATTGACCCATATACAGGATAGGATTACAGTGCACAAGTGCGTGCGCAAGCACAGGTGCATTCTATATTACCTCACACTCATCTAGTTTGAAGAGCACCTCCCGCCCTCCCTCAAGGTGAAAACCTGATGATGTCTCGTTCTAAGACGAAACAAATGTTGTATTATCGACGGCGGTGTGTCTTTCCTAGAGTAGTGATATTGGGAATAGTGGTGCTGGGATTAGTATAGTGACTGGGGATAGTGCACGCAATTCGTCGTTGACGCCTCAAAGGGGCGAACCTCAATTTTTCAAAAAATTACAGGAGAGTAACAAAAACATTTATTATTGTCTGATTACTAGCTTTTTTCATCAGAGAATTAATCTTATTTGTAGTTTTCCATATATTTAATTTCCTGATAATTGAGGGAGTGCTCTTCAAACGAGGCAACATCATTTAATTTTTTTATCACGCTTTACGGCCTACTCAAGCGCTAGTCAAAGATTTCGTAGTCTCGTGGTATCACGGGCACATTGACTAAAATTTTGCAGCGTTTGAGTACTTGGGTGTTAGCTAACAATCTTATCTTCAACATCTATATTATAATATTAGATTTCCACAAAGTAACGCCTGATTCTATCTATTATCTTATAATTCATGGTCCATTTCTGTATGAAATAGCGAATAAATAATCCTATAATTAAATATTTACTTTTAACCAGTTTATGAAACTAAGACAAATTTCAAATTACAGAGACATGGAGACTGCCGCAATGGATGACAACTACAGACAATCAAATATTTTTGACACATAGCCGGGATGGATGACATTCAGCCCTCCCCCCCCCCCCCCCCCGCGCAATATGCAGTCTGGCTGCGTAGCCAAGCTGCGGCGGCCTTAAATATTTGAGCAGCCACTTCTAAACAGCCAATGGACGGCCAGTTTTGACCCTTTCTTCGAGGGATATGGACGTGAAACAACTAGTAATTTTGTGCGTATATCGTAAAAAACGCAATGCTAAAAGACATTGGATTCATTCTTCTTTTCTAGAACAGCAGACCGGTTTTTTTAACTACACGAGAATGTCAGTGCAATCATATGCGGTGACTGACGGCAGCCACATACATTTGCCCTACTCGCGCTCGCGCTGGCTGCGCGCAGCCAACGGGCTGCCGTGCAATCGGGCGCGCTTTTATGGCTGCCGCAGCCGGGAGTTCGTTGCTGCTTAGGTGGGCGGCCTCCCATACACCGTCATAATATGTTCGACTGGCTGCCGCAGTCAGCCTGCCTAGTGTGCGGGGGACCTTACTGTTTAGGGGATTATTGTACAATTTATTATCCAAATAGCTTGATAGCGATTACCTCACTCCCAGGGGTTATCATCATTTTCTAACCCATTATATTCAACTTTTTTTTAACTTAACCTTAGACAATATATTTTATGGTTTAGTCGTGTGTCAATCAAACAATCCATAGAGTATTTTATTAGTTATTCCATACATATCGCTACTATGCCCATGTCTATGCATATTGAATGAGTAATGACGTAAATGGTATATAACTAGCATGTACTAGGTTGCTCATTTATTTTTTGAAATATGCATGTGGTTGGACGATTCCGTGGCGTAGTTTCATTGAATTGCGGTGCCGAGTTCCACCGGTTAGAATTCCTTAATATTTTTCATAGTGTTGGAACAACCATTTTATCGATAAATGAAACAAAGTTTTAAAAATTCTAGATTATTATTTATTTTAATCAACATAACATTCTTCATATTGGGTATTATCACTAGCTTTAATCAGTCTTAATTTTCATTAATCACATTGCACTTAATCAGCGTTAATTCTCTTCATGAAACTAATCAGTGTTCAGGAGATGTACATGGACCTCGATCTAATATATGTAGCTCCTTCCGAGCGTTATATATCAAATTTATTATGTCCATATACACTTGCGATCGAATCTCGTATGGAACTGACTCCATTTCAAATGCAATGAATGTACCAAAATGCTCATTTCGAGGATCTTCTGGTCTTTAAAGAATCTTGCAGCGGGCAAACTTATATAAGCTGTGTAGTAATCTTTTTCAGATTTCAAAATTCATTGATCTACCATTGTTGGAAATTTTTCTTTTTATTTTCTTTTTCAGTCGAATAGATGGGAGAATAGATAAATAGATGGCGATTCATCACTTTTTGACACGATGATTCTACTCCATATACTACAAGATTCTTTATGTTCCTGTAAAATGTATAAATTAAGCAAATATAAATGTAGTCTAAGTTTCTCAAATACCTGACTATTTATTTTACATGAATATTTACTTACCGATTCAATATCACTGTTGTAGATAAAACTGTCCAAAATATTTAACAGTTCTTCTTCGTCTAGCATTATCGATAATTTCCAGCACTAAAAATGCAAATAAGTATAGTACACGCGTGTTATCACAGTGACGGCGCCACAGTAATTGACAATTTATTGAAACACCACTGTCCTTGACATTTGCCGCACGTGAAATGACAGTGCTGGCTATATGCTTCATGGTGCTGGGTGCTGGCGTTCTCAACTCGAATGCACTAGTGACGTACCGGGATAATTCAATTTTACATTTGGGTTGTTTGGTTTATAAATTAATATTTTTATTTCTTGTCGCAAAAATCATTTAAATAATATATTAAATTAAATTTTTATGAATGGTTAGTGCAGTTCATTAAAATATTACATTATGATGACTCGACTATCATTTTAATTTTGAAACAATACAAATATAAATTTTTTGATAAATCTTTTACAGTGGCGCAGCACTGGTCTCGGCAATATCACGGGGATGGCGAGGCAGCAAGTTCATCTTGCACTTAGTAACTCTATATATTTCTGTTAATTTTTGGTATCTACAACTATCCACAATTAATTAAATGTATTAAATTTACTAGCAAAATCGAATTAACCTTGCAATTTTTCTAGTAACATGAGCATTTCGGAATATTACGCGAGGGCGCTGACGGTATTCACCTTAAGATTCGTAATATTACGGCTATGGCGGTGAAAGGGTTAAATGACCTACAAATAATTGTTCCAGGTCTCGTGTCAACAACAATGCAACATTGCAATTTCTCGACTGTAAGGAACAAAGTACTTTTTCAAAAGTTGTAAGTGAAAGCCCAACAGAACAATAAAGAGTAATTTCTAATCAGAAATTACGTGACTTAAATTTTAAATATAATCCTAAAAATTTATAGTCAAATTCAAAGAATGCTAAATAAAATAATAAGAAAAGGATTTATACAAAGTAAAACTACAATTGAAGTGTTGCCACCATTTATTTGAATTTTACTAAAAAAAATTGAATAAAAAATATTGTATTTCATCAACATGTTACTTTAGAAATGGATAATATACAGTTGTAGAAAATTTCCGCGCCGCGTCGCTCTCTCGTCGTCAACAATTATTATTATTTATTATTAGGTAATTATTATATTATGGTGCACTTATTATTTCGTATTATTGAGCGACAGTCGGTGTCGCGTAGGGAGCTGCGGTTGCAGACTGCTATTTTATTACTCTAGACGATGAAACAAACCTTGGGACAGTTCAGGATTTTGTTTTTGGTAACACAAACAAATACTAACAAGCGCTTTTTTAACGTTTCTATTGTCATCAAATGCCTATATTTTACTATGACATTAAGAATGGAAAAGGATAATAAAATATAAATAAAATTCAACTGACTATTATATATTGAAAACGTACATTTTTTATTAGGTCCTATGATGAGCGTTTAAAAAACGCTCGTTAGAATAAGTCGATACTAAAAACATCATAATGGGTGCCGTTTTATACTAAGTACATTACTTAACGTGCAAGTTTCGACTGTAGAAGCGAATTTCACACACAATGTGGTAATTTGGCCTACTTATACTATATAGTAAGTTTGATTTATAAACTTACGATTTTTGATCATCGACTTCAACACCTAATGTTAACACACGTTATGCAAATTAGCCACAATTATGACTAATCTTACACAAAGATAGTTTATTATGATATAACACCAGTCACAATTGTATCTAAATTCTGCATCACATTTATACCTTATAATTATTATTCACGCATTTGTCGAGTTAGTCATATATAATATGTAAAGAAATCACATCACACGATTATAGTCGATGATAGTATATAAACCAAAATATACATACAACTTTTTGTTACAGGTAACACCGAATGCCTATTGATTAATTGTCTATAGTTCAATTTAGTTTTTTTTTTTTAATGGAAGCCTATGATTCTAAGCAGTACATTCAAAAGCAACTCTCTACGCGTCTGCGGATTTGTTCGGGCGCCGTCGTGGACCGGTTAGGATCTGTCTGTCTGTGTGTCGGTTATCAATTATCATGTGTGCTTGTGTGGGACGGCGCGCTCGTGTTAGGTTCAGTCTCACTCGCTGCTCTTAATCTAATCTTCATCTTCGCCGCTCTCCGACTCTGAAACCGAAAACAGTTTTGTCAATTGCTATTGTCACAAAAGTCGATAAACGGAGACACAGTCCATCTGATAGTGAGTCAAATTCTCGTCACATCCATATATAACACAGTAGCATTATGCTGATTTGTATGTACAGAATGAAACAAATGTATTCGTAGAGTGAAATTCGGTGAGAGTATGGATGGTTTTTTCCTGCTTAAATAAACCCATTTGCTACAGTTGTAGTGTTTCTCGATTACATATGTTTTAAATAAATATTACAACACATATTTAAGTGGAAACTAATTAATTATCTCTCCAAATTCACGAAATTAATCTACTTTAATATACTGTCTCACAGAATACCAGCTCAATTCTGCTGTTCTGCTGTGTGCTCTGCTGCTTGTATGGTGAGAGTAGAGAACCAAAAACCGTTTTCACTTGAAATCTGGCATATCATCTTAGTCCTCGGGGTGAGAACGCATCTACATTTTGAATCTTAATCAATGATAGATGTAGATGTCTATGGACCACAGCATCCACTTTCCCATTTCACTATTATTCCATTAAAAAAAAAAATTCCTAGCCCAAAAATGTTTTATGAAAACAAATGGGGAAAGGTTTAATTTGTGTTAATGTATCTCAGCCAGTGAAGTGGACAGTCACAAGAGGTGAAGGCCACGGATGAGCCGAGAGTCGATATAGCACACTTCGACACCAACATGAGCATGTAACTCAGGCTGGCTCTAATTGTGTGCAATGAGTAACCTTTTTTCAAGTTACTTATTCTATAACTTGGATGGCACATTGCCGCTTTATTTAAATTAATTTTCAATATGTAATAAAGGAAATCCCCCATAGGTGACAATTTTGTAAAGTCACACTTGGTACATGATCTACTACAAAGAGGTGTGATGGGTATAAGAAGTGGCTTGCTTTGGCAAGCAATGTATGGATTTAAAACAATGTCTTCCTGTCATTTACCTTAGTTGACCCTTACGCTCACAGAAATACTCATAATATGTTGAACATATTTAAAAATTCACTTGGTATTCCCAGAGCCTGGCATGTGTTAGAAGAAAAATAAAACTATAAAAATAAAAAATTATAATTACCTCACAAAATATAAAATAAAATTTAATACAAATGTGGAAATTTGCATAGCCGTTGGATATAAATAATACAATAATGTACGGCCACGTCCCAAGAAACCCAGAGGACGGTGTTGCCAGATTTTAAAAATGTACTGAATTTTAGGCAAATTGCAAGTAAAAACCACGTTCCAATTAATCATTAATAATATGTTTTTGGTAATGTCATTGCGGTACATGTTATTTTACATATTGCATAAATGAAGACTACCAAAAGATATAACATTAAAATAATAATTTTCCACTCACCCTCTTCAGCACTTTGGAGCCACTCGACAAACTTCTTCATCTGGTCGAGGAACATGACCTTGCCCTTGCTAGAGTTGGGGTCGCGGTACCACTTCAGGATAACCTCCTCGGAGAGCACATTGGTCTTGTATAGCATCAGCACCAGCTTGCTAAACGCTCGCATAAAGCTCATGTTCTCGTAGCAGTATTCTTGCACCTGGGTAAACAAAATTCATAATTTTAAGTGACTTCAAACAAACAAAGTGAAAAGTTTCCATTTAATTACTATTTTTATTGTGTGTAATAAGATATATCAGAGGTCTGTTAGCCAATTTTAATTTCAACTAAACCACAAACACACAAATTGTACTACAGACTTCAAAAAGTAGGAGGTTACTCAATTAGACTTTGTTTTGTGTGTGTGTTACCTCATAACTTTTTTCTGCGTGAACAGATTTCGACGATTCTTTTTTATTTGATAGCTGGTGCTTCTCATGTGGTCCCATATAAATTTGATCAAGGTCTGACCAATAGTATAATTTCATAATAATTATTGTGATATCCATCTTAGTGCTCAGACAACGCATCTGCAGTCTTCTTTGTTTGAAGACGACTTCAATAGGCTATGTACTGTAGTAGCCACTTACCATCAAGCGGACTGCAAATTCGTGAGCTTTCCTATATAAACAAAATAACATGAACATTATGTGTAACTGAGACAATGTGCCGCGGCCAGTGAAGCGAGCAGTCGCAAGTGCGAAGTCCGCGGATGAGCCGTGAGTTTATATCGCACACTTCGACACCAATACGAGCATGTTACTCGGACTGGCTCTAATCGTGTGCCAAAATTAAGATAGTTAAGCGAATCTAAAACAACACTCATAAATTAGGTTATCTAATTTAACTTAGCAATGATATTATTAACATTAATTTATCCTGGGAACTACAGAGCTCTAAAGAAATCAGAGTGAGCTAACTAAATGAATTTGAATTTTGTGGGGTAAATATCTTAATATTCATAAATGAATTACTCTCAAACCATTGTGACCAGTTTTCATTGCAGCACGTCACTAAATCTTTAATTTCTATACTAGATTTTTTAGCTCACATAGTTCTATTTGGTAAATTTTTCATGTGACGCGGTATAACGCAACTAAAGACCATAGAACACAGTGATACCCTCAATCAGTTAGAAGAAAATAACTGTGTTATAGAAAGAAAGAAACAGATTTTATTTGGCACATGCAGCACACTCAAGCGGATTACATAAAACACAACATTTAAGTAGTCATACAAACAAACAAAAAAAAAAAAAATTATAATGCTTGTAGTCTCTCTAGCAGATCTGATCTGATATTAGTATCAAAGATATATATTTATATCAAAAATATCGATAGATAATAGCAGGGCTCGGAAACGTTATTAAAAATAACGTTTTTAAAACGGTTCTTTGTATAACATTTTGTTCGGAACAAAAACGAAATAAGAACGTAATGTGAAAATGTAAAAAACAGTTTATTCCACAGGAAGCTAAATGAATGACACGTGCCACGTGCCACAACAAGTTTAAACCTATAAGGTATTTTTATTTCGTATTACAGGAACAAAAATGGGAAAAACTGGTTTAAAATGGTTAAAAACGTTTTATTGAACAAGAACGATTTAAAATTTCGTTCTCTTCATAAACGTTTTTATTATGATTCCGTTCGAACATAAACGAATCAAATAAGTTTTTAGGTATTTAAGGCGAAAACGTTTTGAAAAATATACCGTTATCCGAGCCCTGGATAATAGCTCCAAGTTCAATTGGTCTGTTCAAGCAATATGAGAGAGTTTACCTGTGATAAAAATATTATTTAAATAGGATTTGAAGTTGGAAAAACCAGGAAAGTTATGTTTAAAAAGGCACTAAAGGCCTTGTCAAACATAACTGCGAACCGATAACGTGGCGAATGTGTATGCAATTATCGGTTCGGTTTCGCTTTTTATATATGACTAGATTCAAACGATACCATACATAAAACGCCGTAAGGCCGCCCGTAACGTAAGAATTGTAAAAGTGGCGCGCGAATTTTAAAATACATGACCTTATGAGGGCACTTTAAAAATTCAGGACGCTGCATATAAACTATTCAGGACACTACAAAAACTAGGACATGTCCTAGGAAAACAGGACGGTTGTCAACCCTAGTATATACCAACGAAACTTTGAAAAAATATTCTATTGACATATTCCAACGAAACTTTGGAAAAGTATTCTATTGACATCAATAAATTTATTCAACTTGAGAAATTGTTCAAGTCTCATAGGCACAAAATATAAGCTTATCTTACCTTAGTCAACAATGCGATCTCAGCCTTTGCGGACTGCGCGAAAGCGGCCAATAGTGGGGTGTAATTACGCAAGTGCTTCGCCGCTTGCTCGGCCAACAGTTCCTCCTTCTTGTTCCATTCGCCGCGGGACATCACGCACTGCCAAATCTGCACCAATTTGGACACATTAGGGTATTGCGTCACCAAGATTCTGGATATAGAAAAGGTTTGTAAGGATCAGATTGCCATGTCGACATGGAGCTACGACTGGAACAATACAAGCTCGGAATGGATGAAAGACTCAACCAATACCAGCTCGTAAAGTCTTGCCGCATCTCTCAGACTCGTCATCAAGTTTCATCATATGAATGTTTTTGTACCATATTTGCCTTTAAAACATCGGTATAAGCTATAAAATCCGTTATTGAGCTTTTCCATCAAGACATCATCGGTAGCTGCTCTGATTCAGGAAGTTGGCGGTGTTTAACCCTCGTGAAAGAACGTAAAGCAGTTGGTCCTACGCCTGATGTCTCTCCGGTCGTGTCGGTTTACTGTCCCATCGGACTATGAGACTGAGGGAATAGAGAGTGCACCTGTGCTTGCGTACACCCTCGGGCACTATAAATCCTGTCCTGCGCCGATGGCTAGTCTCAGTCGTGACCGAAACTCGGTCTGGAGGACGTTATTATTATTATTATCACAAGCTATATATACGATTACCCTTACGTTATCGTCATAGTGAGATATTATGACAAAGATGGTTGTACTTAAAGTTAAAGAGTAAAAGTAGCCATTTTCATGTGAGTACATAATTGTATACATCTTTTCTAGCATTTCAAATAAACAATACGTACAATGGCAACAACTTCGTGGTCGGGTATGGAGTGCTTCTGGGCCATATCGCGCAGCTCTTGTATGAGGTCGCGCACCGGCTTCTCGTCCGCTAATTCGTCCAGCAACGCCTGGGTCAGCTCTCGACGGGCTTCCTATGTGACAATGTATGGTTAGGGACTACACTATATAAAATTCTTTGAATTTTTAACGTTCTTACAAATCGACATAATAATAATTTGCTACAAATTACTACATGTAAAGTCTGCCAACATGCACTGGAGTAGTGTGGTTGGTTCGCACCAATTGCTCCTAATCAGAAATGAGAGCAGGCTTATGTTCAGCAGTAGGCCCCGCATACAGACTGTAAATTTAAAAAATTTATCATCATCATTACATCTTAGGTCTTGGGTTTTAACCCACTGTTGATCATAAAGCTCCCAAGATTTTGCCACCTTGAAGGGATATTTTCCAAGGTTGTCATGGCATGCCATGCTAAGGTTGGCAACTGCAGGTAGTGAATTCTTTTTACGCCGCAACTACACGGCGAATTTTAATGCTAAATATATGCTAGATTGCAAAAAGAGATGTTTGTTATAACAAACTGTTGTTTTCTATTTAATTGTACTTAAATAATTTACTGTATACTAGTGAAAAAGATGAAATTAAGAATCCATAAATATTTTGGTATAATATATAAATTGGAGTTGCAAGCAATTTATTTATTTGTACATAACAACAACGTGAACCTGGATGAATCACAGATCTTGAGATCAAATCTTAACATAAAACAGTATTTGTACAAAACAAACTGGGTTATCAAATATCACTTTAAATCACATAAGTGCACCTTGAAACTTTGATTAGTGCCCTTGCAAGAAACTTTCGTAAATTGGTTGGATTATTGTGTGTTTGTGTTGTGTGTGGGTGTTTGTGCGCGAGTACCTGTGAGGCTTGTGCGCGATGCAGCCGCAGCAGTTCAGCGAGACCACGAGATGCGAACGATGAGGCCAGCACTTCTTCACTGCGCCGGTTCAGAGGCAAGAACTCCAGGAGCCTGCAACACAACAAAAGCTATACCATACAACTCGACTTTCTCAATGTTTAACTTGTCCCAAAATGATGTAAAATGTTTCCATTCAATCTATACTAGTTTTATGAAAGAATAAATAATAAATCATTCTTTAATTCATTCATAAAATGCTTCAATGCTTTGACGGCTCTGTTTGAGTTGCGTCGCTGATGGCCGCAGGTTCGAATCCCGCACGTAACAAGTTTGTTTGGCCTACAAATAATTGTTCTAATTGTGAATGTTTGTCATTGTGCAATCATGTATGAAAACTGATTCCACGATACAGGAGAAAATTCTAGTGGATGTAACATTTTCTAAAAAAAAAAAGCATGATAGAAATATACACCATGTTTTGTAATTACAAAAAAAATGCTCTCCAGTGTCTGTTTATAAAAACTTAAAATAATGAATTCCTAATTCAAGTTTTAGCTTGTTTAGTTTATAATTTGCACTACGCGACGCGGCGCAGGGCGCGTTGTAATGTAACTACTATTCAGAAAATGAATGTTCTGATTTTCACGATGGCTTATGGATATTTTGTGAAGTGAAATACAAAGACTCGTGTATGTGAGTGAGCCTATCAATATGCAGAACCTAAAACAGTGCATAATAATAGACGCATTTAATAAAACGTACACAAGTACTTAAATACTTGTAGGTAGTGATAGTGTAAATAAGTGCGTACGTAGATGTAACATTTGCTGCGACTGTACTTAATTTTTTTTTGGTACTTACAAAATAGTGGTGTATATCTTATCACAAAATAAGTTCAGTGATGTATATCTCCTCCTCAAGGTGTTTTACTATTTTCAACATGCCGACTGGAGATAATTCAAGAGATAATATATCTTTCATCCTTAGTATCTTAGATGAGCCTAATCCTAATTTGATCTGCTGGGTTTTTCATTGTTTTATAATAGTGTTAACAGTAATAGAATGTTATCTTCGTTAACCCTACAGCGCCATAGCATAGCTATATATCACCAGCTATTTTAACTTTATAACTTTTATTGTCATGATTCTGGTCCTACTTACAGCTATTGTATTGGATTAGGTTGCAGGTCTTAAACTAAATGTCTGTTAATAGAAAAACATTAAAAATGTTGCGGCATCTATGACGACGTCACAACGATGCGACGAGCCAGTACATGACGCGTTCCTCTGCCCCGAGGGTATTATTTACGATTCAATCATATGAAATCGCTTATTTAGAATCCTGGGGCTCTTTTATAGTAATTTTACTAACACATGGTCAAATTATCAAATATATATTGTGATACGTAATTAAGTAAGTGGTGCGCTTCGCTCCCTACCGATCGTCATTGGTAAAGAGTAGAAGTTGCCCTTTGGACAATGTATCTACTTACTGATAGTTGCTTGTTTTACTAAAACAAGACCTACATTAGTGGACACTGCATTACTTAAAACAGGATTGTAAGATGCAACAACTAACACTCATTTAGTATATGGTAGAAAACTATAGTTACACATGTTTTTTTAATAATTCTGTTTAACTTCGAAATATTTATAATAAACTGTTTTTCAAATAGCTGCATGGTAGTATGGCTACAGCTCGAAAGGATTGACTCGACTGTGTCAAAACCACAGTCGCACAGAATACTAGTGTGATATATATATAATGCTGCTGTTTCAAATGATTATTGACGAGATCACAAGACCCTTTTTAATGGTAGTGAGACATTCCATGTTAGTCCTCAGGGGTGACAACGAATTTTACTTTAGATTATTAATCGAGGATAAGTACAACAGCAGTAATTTTTTTTGTAGATTTGAATATGCAAGTATTTTTTGAGTATGAGTATTAAAAACAGTGCGTGTACCTGCCCTCGAGCTGTCCCTTCTTGAGTGCGGTGACGAGCGAGGTGACGCCGCGCTCCTGCTTGACGGTGGCGAACACCTCCAGCACGAAATCCAGCGCCAGGTTGTCCTTCAGCAGGTGCTCGTTCACCAGCACCAGCAGCACCGACGGCGGCACGCACCCGTTGCCTGCAACCATAACATACATCTTTATATCCTCTAAAAACTACACAGCATCAGTTATGGGCTACGGATTGGTAAGTTGAAGTAGCAATGGGCTGTTCTTACGGAACAGACATCTATTAGGGAAGACAGGTTCTCTAGTGACAGCCTCGTGCCAGCAAATCGAATGTAGAACATCTCTTCACTAAATGGGAGTGACGACCTGTAAGAAATGCAGGCAGTCAGTCGTCTATGGATGCAAATGGCGTAGAACCATGCATGCAACCATGGGGAGGTCAATATTTAGCAGTGGGCTGATGTGAAAGGATGGATAATGGACAGCTATTAGAAGTAATGAGATCTTTCTGCCATTTTGCAATACATTTACGAGTCATGAAATGGGATAATATGTTCTCTCACGCCGCACACAATGGCACTGTACTGCAGTGAAATGTTACGTCCTCTTCATCAACTTATAGACATCCTAAGCTGGACATAGGCCTCCAATTATATGAAGTTACAGCTGTAACTGTCACACTTGGCAGGCTGATCGATAATCACAGCACCAGACGTGAGCACCTATCACATAGCTATCCATCTCCGGTCTGGGTATTTTAAGTCTAGTATAAAATAGACGCCATCTTTCGGAAGCCTCTTACGACACCCACGGGAAGGAATGGGGCGATGGATTCTCTTACGCCGTCATCATATGATGAGGCCTCCACCACACAGAATTATTTTTATTGTTTTGCATTTTTAGGACCTTTTGAACAGTATTTGTGATTCAAAAACCGAATTTGTTCTGAAGTTATTAAAGTTCACATTTGTATCAATTGCAATAATTTGAAATTCTTCCTGGTCCGCGATCACACTATAGCAGGTTACGACAGTAAAGGCGTTTTGTTTCTAGTTACAGAACTCTAATTCTTATTAGTTCTTGCTTTCGTCGCCGGTCTGGATATCTGAAGATTGGTGTTTACAAGAATTGTTATTCCACCATCTATCTCTACACTCACCATCTATCTGAAGCTATAGTAAGATTTTTCTGGATTAAAACCGTAAATAGTGAATTCCATAGATCGACAGTTCATATCATGATAATAACAATAATACAACTTGATTCTAAAATGTGCATAAGTAATGCAGTATAATGGATTGAAAGGAGAGATTTTATGAAGTACATATGTGATAAAGCCATGCTGCAGCTATATATTACTGTAGTTGTAGCATGAATGGGTCGGCTCGACCGGGGAAGGACCACACTCTCACAGAATACTAGCTTAATGCTGCAGTGTTTCGTATGGTGAGTGTAGAGAACAAAGACCCTTTTTACTACAAAAGAGGACGTCCCATCTTAGTCCTCAGGGGTGAAAACGCATCTACATTTTGATTCTTAATTGAGGATAAATGTAGATGTATGGGCCACAGCATACACTTATCATCAGGTGGACTGTGTGCTCCTTTGTCAAAAAAAAGGCCAATGTTCAGCAGTGATTTTTGATAGGCAGCAAAGAAAGAAATTAAAGTTGAATAAATATACAAGGATGGTTGTTCTACATTCTATAAAAAGATATATTTTACTTGCTTTCTTTAATCAACACTTACTCATGGACCGAAATGACTATGGATTATTTGTTGCAATCACAATTCATGACTTCACTCAAATTTTAATCTAATCAGGCTTACCAATCCAAAGTGCAGTCATACGCGCTAATTTGATACGCTGCAGTGGTTCAAAGCCTTTCAAGTACACCAAGACCTGGAAATAAGTAAGAAGGCTAAATATTTGTGCCAGATTTAAAATTGAACAAATTAAGAACAATTCAGACTTATTTGTCCTTGACTTGTCTTAGCAATAAACTGTAACTAGTTTTATTTGTTGTCTGACCATCAACCGTTTCAACTATAAGTAAATAAATAGTAATTATAAAATATTTGGAAAACCCAAAAGGGCACGCCTCATGGGCGTTTCATTTAATTTTGATGAAAAAAATAAAATTAGCGATTATAATTTTTACAAGAAAAAAATAAAAACAGAATGTAATTGACTTTCATTAATAACTTTAAACTTAAGAGTTTAATAACAAAAATCACCTCCTTAGAATGTATGGAATCTTATTTTATACAGGGTCATTTTTAATTTACTAAAGACAGTAACAGGTAACCAACGGGACGCCGTTGGTTACCCTTTGGACACGAAACCCTAAAAAAAGATATTGATATTACGAAAAATGTTTTGTCTCGAAAGTGCCAGTGCCTGTAGGGGAACAAAATTATATGGCTTCCTTGCATAACGATAAGAATCCAAAAAACATGCTACAATGTTCTTAAAGTTAGCCAATACTTTCTAAATGTAGCCTTGTTTCATAATCAAGTAATAATACCCTCTAAGCGAAATTCCCCATCTATACAGCAATCCAGGAATATAATATTCCTCCATTATCACGGGCCAGTGGGCTGGCAATTGGACACTATTGGAGAGAGAGATCAGACGCAAAACTAATGTTTTTACGTGCTTTCTAAGGCACGGGGGTGAAACACTACCAGGTTTTTCTGACTCTGAGCAGCTAATGAGAATTTCTTGAAAGAAAAGACCAAAACTGATTTTTATCTACTCAGGAATCTCAATCCTTACCTTGACCCTTGAGTCATATATGAATATTTCGATTGTATAACTACTGCGTCTATCTGGCGGACAGGGAAACTGCTTTACGTAATGACCAATGCTGCCGACTAAATTTAAATTAGGTTAAACTTACCTTTTTCATTTCCTCCTCAAACATTTTTTCCAGATACTTGTACCGACGCATAAGCTTGACGAACACCTGGAAGGAAATTTTTATTTTAGTAGCAGCTATTTGTTTCAAGCACTAGATCACTAAATACGCTGATGGTAATCAGAAAAATACGAACGAGAAATAGAGTTCTCCACATGACGCTTCAGGACTCTAGCCATGTATTTCATCATTTAGGAATGGTATTTAAACAAAAGTATTAGTTGTTTGTAACAGTTTTTCACGTAAAAAGTTCAATGGTCTAGTAGATATTTTAAATAAAAATAATCACTGTTGAAGTACAATCAAAGCGACATTTTTTCGTATAATTTTTAAATTTATACTTCAAACAAAATAAGTAAACACTAAGTGTATAATGTCACAGGTTTACAGTAAAATCATGTTTTTGATTAAAATCTTAGGCTTTTGATCAAGAACCAGAAGAAGACAAAGTTATTACTTAATCTTTTATATTATATTAACTATGTTACTTAAATTTGAAAATATCTTGTTTTTTAATAAAAAATCTGAACTTTCTTAAGTTTATGATAAAATTTAAGCTTTGGTTGGGTTAAGTTGATTTTAACATAAAACTAAATCATATAATATCAATTTTTGATTAAAAAAAAAACTGGAATTTCTCAGGTTTATGATAACAAAGTAGTTATTTTGTCGTCTTCCGGTTCTTGATCAAAAGCCTAGGTTTTTTTATTAAAAACGAGGTTCTATCATACACCTGCGATACATTATACAATTTTGGCATATATTGTTTCAAAAATTTTATGTTATATATTTTGCTTATGCCTACTGACATACATAAATAAAGTAACATTGACATACTTCTCATTAAATAAAAAAGGAAATCCTTTTTTTAAATATACTAAGTAGTATTCATGATAATCGGTGACCTCCTTTATCCAATACTTGTGTAAAACTGAACCAGATAACATACCTGTTCGAAGTTCCGCATGGTCTCCATATCCTCGCTGGCGGCGAAAATACAAGTGTTGGTTTTGGGGGTCTCGCCGTCCATCGACACCGAGCCGCCCGGGACTGGGAACAAAGACTAATCTATAACACTTGTCGATGCCGACAGAACAAACTGGTCAGGGGTGAACAATCAGATGTAAATGAACGAACGAAAAGTGTTTCTTCCACATTTGTATTCAGGACTCTAGCCAGTTTTATCATCATGTAGATGTAAATATAAATATATCTAAGTATCTTCTAAAGGGTAAAGCCAATATAATCAGTCTGTGAGCCATTCCTTCATAGTCCTCAATGACGACCATGTTTTGTAGTCTACTTTTTGCCTAAAGTTGGTGGCAGATGTCCATGGGCCGAGTACCTACCTAGTTTTATCATCATATAATAATAAAGTACGTAAATGTATATTATCTTAATGTCTGCACTGTTGTGTGCCAGTCTGAAAGGTATATAGAGAGCCCAGTAATATTACAGCTTGTGAGGCATTCCATCTCAGTCCATAGAGATGACCATCCATCTGTAGGTTTGTTTTATATCGGCAGCAGATCTCCTTGGGCTGGTAACCGCTTAGCATCAGGTGGCCAGTAAGTTAGTTTATCACTTTATTTAAAAAAAAATAAGAAATAAAATCCGTTCATCATATTGATTCAATAACAATTTCAACAAATCTGTTGAGTCTTATTATTGTCTCAGTTTAAATTAATATATTATAGAAGTTCCACTTATTTGAAGTCTGTTGAAGGACAAGATTGAAGGCAATCAATCAATACATGCAGGTCCATAATAATTTGAATGTTAGATTGTAAAAAACGTAATGTGATTGAGGTCATAAGGAAACCATCATCTCATCTTATCCCAAGGTTGGAGCCTGGTAAGTTTCTGATCTTAGGGTCTACAATAAATGGCAGTTCCTATCTCGTACCTACATCGTCATGGTTTCTCTCGTGCCACCTTATTTGTAGCTGGGCAGTTCCGTTTCTTATATAGAAGTGTCACAAACGGGTACACAGTTCACTTGAGGGTAGGTGGATGCTGTGGCTCAAAGAAACCTATATCTAGCCTGAATTAAGAATCAAACAGCAGATGTATTGTCTGTCACCCCTAAAGACTAAGAAGAAATGCATTGCTACTTTAGTTTATAGCTTCTCGTCACTCACTAAGAAAGGATTTTGGAAAATGCAACCCCTAATTGGGTGAAATAGGGTGTTACAGCTTGTTATTAATATAGCTGCTCAACCAATATCAGCAACAATATCAATAAAATATAGGTACTTACGCAGCAGGCCGCCTGCGATGAGAACGTCGAAGATGACCTCCCCATAGCGGCGGTAGTCAAGCTTGGAGCCGGCCGCGTCTAAGAACTTGTAGGCCGCCTCCAGATCGCCGCCGGCGCGCTCCAGACCCTGCACCAGCGCGTCGCGGAACCCGTTAGGGTCATACTTCTCTTTCTCATCTGTAACAATTAAGGGGGACTTGGATAAGTGGTTGATCTGACAAAACATGCAAAGGGATCGACATAACATATATGCAGGTGGCTTTGGAATGTGCTTTATAGTACCACTAGTTTAGGTTCATTTTCTCTTAGCCACCACACAATACACTTGTGATGGCCTGTTATGATCATGTTGATGATGAGTGGCTTAACTTTTGCTGATGAACCTTGTATGTTAATGGTAAAGAAATACGTTATTTTTAAAACAACGTTAACCTCACACTATGACTTTCTCCTACATCATAGAGGCAATTTACAGACAAATTTCAAAGGATAAACATTCAGACCCGGTTTGTAGATGATACAATTACTTGTTCCGTACGGGATTCGAACCCCAGCGGTCCTCAGCGCTACAACTCTTATATTATTGTAAAACCTCAAACATGACATAAATAGAACAAGCCGATCGCGTGGGAGTATTGGAACAACTAGACATACTATAATCGACTTCTACAAAACGCCACTCCAGCTTAAAGTAAGCTTGATAACAATACAGCTATGTTTTATGCTTAATAACAATATATAGTGTATAAATTTAGTAAGCACAACTAACGTACAACCTACGCTCTGAACTCTAACCATAACAGCTGCAGAGTGGCTCTACCATTTATAACTTCGCAACCGATTACAAATAATACGGACTTTTGGATAATTTTTAACCACCCTGGCAGCGAATTTTAAGACCAACTATAATGTATTTATGATTTCAACAACTATTTACGTATAGGACAATGTCGAATTTTTTATTAGACTGGATATATTTTCTTTTCCATAAACGCTCTCATGCCAATTAACAAAAATAGAATGACGCCAATGTGTACAACGGCCTAAAATAACATTGAACTATCCAAGGACACTCTGTCATGATGATGACTAAATAGCTAGCGAATTAAACTCGTAAAGCGGAAGACACACTCTTCGTTATATACATTGTGGTAAAGTTATTTTAAATTAAAAATAAAATTCTATTCGATCACATTCCAAAACAAAACGTTGTTAATTGGTAATCTCTTAGCCCCTTCTCTTAGGTCCGTTAGCCACTACTCTCCATATTATCGAAATTTGACATCTGTTCCATTTTTTACATTTTAGGTCGTATAATTTGTCTTGTATATATGGATATCTGTGTTTGCAATAAAGGATTATTATTGTTATTATAACATTTGGACTTCTTTATTGCAATAGACTAGTTTAAACGCATCTTAAATAAGACTGCAAACGTTTTAAGTAAGTAGAATAGAATCATTTTTTTATAATAGAATAAAATAATTTTTATTGAAAATAAATTAAAAGAATACTACTTACTGAAAGTCATGTTTTAATTTTTACCACTGGTACGGGAAAAAACTCTGTATGGGGAAGAACAATCAAGATATCCAGCGGGACTACTTATTTAAATAAAATTAAAAAAAGTGATCAATTCAAAACTAACATCATAGTTACGTTTCGTAACCCAATGTACATCCCCGCCATTAACATTGAAATTGATAACTTTTACATTGCTGATTTGCCACTTGGCGTCAACGAAAACATTGTTGAGGAAATCTACATGTGATAACAGTGGTAAAATTAATAAAAAATTCTTCATTAAAAAACTTCAATATAAATTTACAAAGATAACTCAAAAACTATACTGGTCAGACTTTGATCAAATTTATAAGGGACCACATGAAAAGCACCAGCTTTCAAACAAAAAAAGAATCATAAAAATAGGTTTACCAAGAAAAAAATTATGAGGTGACACACACATAGAAAATACAGTTAAATTGATTACCACCAAATTTTTAACACACTTTAAAAAGGATTCCTCCTTTTTAAAGTGGGTTAAAATTTGGTGTATCAAATAAACGAGTCGAAAGCGTCATGTCCTAATGCAACTAGCATTATTCACATACCGCATACAGCTGGAAAAATCATGTCCGAGACTTATTTTTGCCCGTTATATTTAAGATTAATATTAATAAAAAAATTATCGTTTGAGAAGCTAATACTCGTCCAAAAATCACGAAATATTTGATCATTCATCCACGTTGATGCCTGCAAGTCAATGATGGCATCCACGACTTTTTCTGCCACCAGGGCGGAGCCACTTAAAAGTGCGGTATAACATTTGACAGATTTCACATCGGGGCAGTTAATTTGTTCGGAAAATGTAAAGATTAATGGTTTTTCTTTCTGTATTATTAGCTATATTTTGTATTAATAAGATTAAAAATAAATAAACCAAACCAAAATTCAGAAAAGTAGAAAATTTAAAAAAAGTTAAATATGTGCAAAAAATTAAAGAACAAACCACTAAGGCATTGTTTTCTGTATTTAATATAATACTCTAGAAATTGACAAACTTTTATTAAAAACTAACTTCTCAATTATTATTTTTTTTATAGAATAAGGGTGACAAACGTGCACACAGTCCACCTGATTGTAAGTGGTTACTGTGGCCCATAGACATCTACATCTATCTTCGTTTGAGAATTAAAATGCAGATGCGTTGTCGGCCGTGAGGACTAAGATAAAATGCCTCCTTTCCAGTAAATATGGTCTCCGGTTCGCTACACTCACCTTACGAAACACAGCAGCGTTAAGCTGCTATTTTACGCTGGTATTCTGTGAGAGCGTGGTCCTTCCCCGGTCGAGCCGACCCATTCGTGCTACAACTATACTATTAAAATAGCTGCAGCATGGCTCTACCACGTAAAAGAAATGACATTGTATAATAAAAAAAAAAAACTTTACCTCAGTGTCAACTAGCGACATCTGATGAGCAGAAAATTATTAGTCCTCATTACAAGACATTGGCGTCCTACAACATAATGCCTAGTGAAATATTGTATGTAAGAGTTTGAAATAATAAAAAAAATATACATAAATATTATGCTGTTTTGTGCAGTAGGGTACTCCTACTAAATAAGATTTTATTGTCTCAATTGTTACAAACGTAAAAAGTACGATACACTGTTTCACTACAGTGTATTTTAGACCATAGCGACGGTAATGGTCATCAATTACCACCAAGATATTTCGATGAAATAAAATTGAAACGCGTTCGTATGAACGTGTTTCGATGTTTGGTTTTGATAACGCAAATTCTTCAGACTTAAGAGATACGGCAAAGGTTCCTTAATTACGCTAAACTGCACATTTAATAAAACTGAATTTAAATTTTTCATGAGTTTAAATTACTTTTTTTTATAGAATAATGGTAAGTGGATACTGTGGCCCATAGATATCTACATTTATCATGAAATAAGAATGAAAATGGATGCGGGTGAGGAAAATGCAGTCCCCTGAGGACTATGATGGAATACCTCGTATCCAGTAAAAAGGTTCTTCGGTTCTCTACTCTTACCATACGAAACACGGAAGCAATAAACTGCTATTTTAAGCTAGTAATCTGTGAGAGTCTGAGAGAGTGGTTCTTCCCCGGACGAGCAGAACCATTCCTGCTACAACCATAATATAGCTGCAGCGTGGTCCTACCACGTACACCTTAATTATGTGAATCGGTAAGGTCTAATAATAAACAAATTAAAAAAAAACTTCCGAATATCTGAAGATGCACGCAAGTACGCTAGAAATGCAGAGATCATATTTCTTTTCAACGTATATAATTTGTCAAACTAAAAGTTATTATCAAATATGTAAAACATGTTTTATTTAATGAGATAGCCTTTGCCAGATGACTATTAAAAAATTCAATTGGTGATGATTCATAACTTTAATGTTTCCCTTGGGAACAATCTGATGAAATGTACGTTCGTTATTATCTCTTGGTTTTTACACGTGTATTTCGACACGGTGAAAGTTAATGAGATTGACACATTAAATTTGTCTAGACGTCTAGACATCAAAACACTTCTAAAGGTACTATCAAAAATACTTTTAGAAATAAATAAAATACTGTGCAAGAAATTATTACTAAAAAAAGAACATAACTTGTGAAATAAATTATTTCTAAACCAAAAAATGTAGCATGTCTTTATCCCAACAATTTTATTGTCAAGTCAGTAATAAATTAAATCTAGAACTATAATGAGGAGTAAACGCAAATTTGACCTAAATTAATCACCTCATCACTGCATTATAACTTTATGGTACCATATATCTTTAAAATATTACATCGGCAGAAATGTAATATTTTCGCTGATGAACTTTTTTCATTCAATGCTAGGTATGTTTTAAATTCAAATAATTCTGTTCACCCCAATACTAACTATATGATATTGAACTCAAAATAAATTATGATAGTTTGTCAATTATTTTTATTTTATTAAATAATAAATACAAATTATAATAAAAATATATATTTTAGGCTCACTAATAATAAAACCCTTAACTCTACCAACCAGGGACGGTGGACAGTCTCATTGTAGAAAAAAGTTTATCGTAATTACAACGCTCGGAAGGTGGTACCAGATTCTCAGTTTTTGCCAGATTCCAGAAACTTTTCGTTCTCCGTAACGATGCGTGACATTACATATACTTGTGCACTTCATGTACTTCAAAAACGAATGTATGTGGCCGGCCTAACTGTATACGATGTATTACATTTTATCCATGAAGCAAATACAAATTTTTATTAGCTTCATGATTTTATCCTATAAATAATTTAAAATTAATCGAAATCGGTTCACCCAGAAAAAAGTTATAAGTTAACACACACAAAAAACATACAGTCGAATTGAATACAGTCTCCTTTTTGAAGTCGGTAGAAAAATGGATGGGTTTTAATATCCAGTTCGGTGATGGAAAACGGCGCTTTAATTATAGCTTACTGATAGTGGTGGATGACGAACTTTCTCAACAGCAAAACTATTAATAGAATGAACCCAAATGCATTTTTCTATTGTTAACAATATATTAAGTTCAAAGTAAACTGATCTAGAGTACCCGAGTAAAACCACGGACGGCTCGACCTTCCTTGCTTAACTACGGAACCCCAAAAAATTAACCGTGGGAATTTATTTTACTTTTGCACATACTATTCCAATGACTCATGAGCATTGAGCACACATGCCCATAAGCGACTCAGCATGGGTCCGCAATTCAGTGACATCAAGAATATATTCACGTGTCATATATTTTATACGTAATATGCAAGTGAGAAGTATTCTTCTTACATCAATTTCTAGGTAAAGAATGAATCTAGGCTAATACTTAACACTATCTAGGTATTATTCAAATGTTAGTAGTTGACGGCTCGGTAAACGCAATGGCTAAACATTTCGTTGCAGCGTTCCGGGACTACTACTTCAAATTCCCGCACTACTATTTGACGGCAGATATATGTAAAGGGTGGTACCCAAGACGAACTTAAGTCAGATTTTGTAGTATACATACGTGATCAATTTCAAAGAGTTATAATTAAGGTCCTACTGAAACCGATACGCGATCAATCATAAATAATAAACATAAAAATCAATTGCAGTCCGTTAGTCTCGCTAAAACTACAAAAATTTGAGTGGGTTCCCTGGATGGTTTAGATTCACAGTTGGACCCGGTAGGTGGCACTTGTCGAGATCCAGATATCACCCGTGCGAAGCAGAGTCATGTGAGTAAATAATAAATAATTAAAAATCCAAAACCGCATTATAATAAACTAGAATAAATTTAATAATAGCAACGGTATTTTCAGACAAATATGTTGACTGTCCCCGCGACACTACTGAAATGCATAAGCAATGAGTCCCGGACAATCTCGCTAAATATTCAAACACTTCCCGGGAACGTTGTGAGCGCGATTATATGAGACAAGTGGAAGGCTTGTACTATTTCCATACGGAGTAGAATAAATTAAATTATAATACTGCAAAAAGCCCTTTTGTGTGCATAGCACTTTAGGCTTTTTCAGTTTATTTCAGTCGCTTAATTTTATATTTTGCATGCCCTAACTAAAACATCAAGATATAATTAATTATAAAATTTTCTTTTTATAATCCAAATATTCGCCAAACCTACCAATATAATGCTTCTTTTTGCATTTTTTGATTTTTGAGCATTATATTGATAGAATTTTTGATTTGGTTCGATACAGAACCAGTGTAATAACCACCTTTGTTGATTAATATGGAATGTTTCACAGCATGTACTTTAAATAAAAGTAATATTTTTAATATTACCTTTAACTAATGTGGAGAACATTAAGAGTTTCGACTTTATTGTAGAGAAATTTTACATAAATTAACAAATAGACCTTTTTGGGTCTTACAAAAAATAAATTCATGAGGAAATCAACTCCACAATTTGCAGTTTCACAGTCTCCACAAGCCAGTCATAAGAGTATATTGAATCATATGAACATTTTAAACATTAATGTAAACATTTTAATTATTCAAGTATAGATAATTAATAATTATGGTACAAGTTACTTGCAAACAACTTTTTTATGCATATTTACTAACACAATATTTATTATGTTATTATTATGTAATTAGTTATTATTATAGAATGATATAAAATTGATAATTAATCAATGGCATATACATATAGGGAGAGGCCAGGTGGGTCATGCATAAACCGGCACTCTCTGGTATCCTGCCCAGGACGATAGATCCTTAAATATTTTTACACAAACAAATAATGTACTATAACTGTTATAGTTTTGAAGTCCACTAATGAACATAAGCATACCCCATAGGGTAGGGTGGATATTTGCCATAGTCAACATGCTTGACAACCGCATGTTTTTGTTTTTAGTCATTATTAGGAAGACACTGCTGCCCATCTCCTGATTCGTATCCCCTGTCTCTTCTTCTGATGGTAAGTGTTCTACTGCAGTCAATGGACAACCACAGCCAACTTCAAACATGAAGCTACTTTTACCGCTCCTCTATAACATTCAGACTACAACACCACAGTACAAGCTACTATTTGGCAGAAGAAATAGTTAAGAGGGTGGTACCTACTAATGAACTTCTGTGCAGTATATGAGTCCAACCACTTGCATATTATTTTTAACATGGTGAAGCCACCCTGCAGTTATATCAACTGTATATTTGTAGCATGAATGGGTTGCCTCGACTGGTGAAGGACCACATCTCTCACAGAATACCAGAATAAAATAGCAGCTTAACACTGCTGTGTTTCGTATGCTGAGGATAGAGAACTGGAGACTTTTTACTGGAAACGAGGTATACCATTTTAGTCCTAACTGGTGACAACACATTTGCATTTTGATTTGTAATCGAAGATAGATGTAGATGTCTATGGGTCACAGCAACCACTTACCATCAGATGGACTGTATGCTCGTTTGTCACCCTATCCTAAATAAAGTAGATTATGGTATTTATACTTATAATAGCAGTAGTATTCTCCCATAATTAATTTAAACATAATATTATTGTTCCGTTTCCATTTGTGAACTAATTAAACCATAAGCCGTCACGAAGGATAAACAAGTCACTTTATTATGACTTAAATTTTCCTTGTTTTCTTCCTATTTTCCTCACAAGCAAACAACAGTGTTTATGTAATATTATGTATAATGCTGTAGACCATTTTCCATCATGGCCATATATTCTGCAGTCAACTCCAAACATGGATGGGTATAGATGTAGTGACAACCCAAAGGTCTGTAATCATGCTGCCTTACACCCATCAAGAAAACAAACTTATTACAATACACATTGTATAAATAGGTACAGTTCGATACTTCTGGGTTATCTCCTTAGTTTGTAAGACCTTACAACTAAGGTAACAAGAGAGATTTTTTAGAGATGATTAAGTAAGTATACACCTGCCACAATAACTCACCACTGTATGAGCTGATTGGCGGAAAATGCCGAGAGGCATAAATCTGCCCATTGTTACCTTAGTTGTAAGGTGTTACAATAAAAACTAAATAAATAAAGAGATAAATAACATATGAGATATTTAGGCCGGCCACATAAATTTCGAATGCCTAATGAGTCTGCCATATACATTCAGAATCCCATTTTGCCCCCATTTCAAACGGAAAACTACTGCATGTGTGACTGGTTGTTGATTTTATACGGACTTGGTGCGTCCAAAATCCCGAAATGGAATTCCGTATGTATGTGGACATCCTTAATAATATAAAATAATGGTAGCTGTTGTTGACATCCACAGTACACACTTGAATTTTATATTTTGTTTTTAATTTCAGACTGCATAAATGTTTGTATTATTTTTAATGTTAACATCTATATGATGTGCATTATTTATGTTATGACTTTAATATATTTTTTTTTTACTTTAATTGGTATTTTTATTTACTCGGGTATGAATATATTATAACAGAATAAAAATAAAATAATTTTTTACTCAATATGGATTATGAATAATTCTTATTTGTGTCTGGTACCAGGAGATGGGATAATGCCAAAATTCTATACCTAATCAGTTTTAAAAATCAACAAAAATTTCATAGATTACTTACTATCAATTCATGTAGAATTAGACCTACTTTTATAAAACATGCCACTGACAAAATATACTTTTAAGACTTCAATGAAATGGAGAAAAAATTCCACTGCAAGGGTGGATAATAGATAATGAAGATTTTAATAACACTATTTAGATAACATTGTTAATCACATTATTCGTTGAAAGACCAATAAATAGAGCAAGCAGGTAAACTTATGGTACAGTAGGAACTTAAACAGAATAATGTACAACTCCAAAGTTGGGAAATAAATGGCTATATTATTTCTTCTTTAGACGATACATATCTTAACTCGGGCTTCATGAAATTATTTTGCAGAAATTATTATTCTTTTTAGGGCTTAGAAGTCAGCTTCTACTTTTTTATTAAAAGTTTAATTTTTAAATAACTAGCTGTTGGGGATAGAAAGAATCATAAGTTATAATTATTATGAAGAAAAGGAAGATAAGAAACTTGATGCCTTTAAGTTATTTATTATTTGTATGTTCAATAATATATCAAATTATGAGCGTGTTTATTTATAACTATTTAAGATTTAATGTTGTAATTTGTAAACATTTAAAGCCATCACTTTTACACAACTTTAGTGTCGAGTGGTGACACATGGCAAGACATAGAAGTAATGCTGAATAGACATTAGAAAATAGAATATGCATGATGATTAGTTATCCCTCAACATTAATTTTTATTATTATTTATTTTTCTGTTAAATAATCAAAAATAGCAACTTAACATTTAAGTGTAAAACAACAGGTACCATGAATACAATAACATACATAATACAAAAATAGTATAAGTAAGACAATTTGATTTTAAGTGAAAGAAGTAAATCTAAGGAAAACAAGGTAATGGAATCATCTTTTTATTTGTACATAAGATAGCATTTAAGGTTACGATTTGAAACGAAAAGGTAAAATAGTATAAGAATAAAACACTTACCTCTTTTTCTGGTCTTGATCCGTTGACCCGATAATACTGGTTTTTCTACCTTCTGACTCATACAATATATTGCTGAAATAAAACACGTGGCATTAGGATAACGTAGTCATTAGGGAAAGGTGGGTCGAGGACCCGTTAGACGTCACGGTAGGGTCATCGGCCGCCTGTGATCCTATCGCGACAGGCAGTGAACATGTGTCTATTAGAGCCTCCCAAATACACATGGCGAGTGGAGAATCCAGGATATAAAGAAGCTATGTAATCAATTGGTAAACTACAATCAAGCAAAGAAATGTTACCTAGTAAAACTTTTTGTTGTATGACTCAGCAAGGACAATATACCGCGTGATTTTATTGCAATACAGAACGCAATAAGGGATTGCTAATTTTAATGGATGCACTGGTACTCACGTAGTGACAGGTTACGTAGGAGCCTTTTACTCCTTTTCCGAGTTCTCTCGGACTGCGCCTGTTCAGAAAAGAAAGAAACGCTGCAACGATCTCTATTCCCTCGAGAACTAAAGACAACGTGTGTGGAGTCACCGGATTTCCGGTATTTGAAGTCACGAATATCGATTTGAATATTCTGTAGCTGCAAAAATATTTAATTTTCGTCCACAAATGATTTAAATGAGCTGTAACGTGTTGTTTGATAAAAAAATTAAATGGAGATAAAAATAAAATATGTTTAATAACTTAATAGAAAGTAACTACAAAAATAAATACTATTCGACACCGCTTTTTAGAAATTATTATTCCGCTTAGGAGCAAGCCGAGGATTCACTTAAATTTATGAAAAATATTTAAAAGAAATAACACAATAATTTGATGAATTTTGCAACAGTATATTAAAAAATCACAATTTGAAAGGAAAACATATGACTAAAAATTGTTGAGAAACAAAACACATAGACTTAGACATAGACATTTTTACTTTTTATTTAATACGACTGCACGAGTCCTAAGGATATTCGATATACATCGATGCATCGAATTCACTCGATGTTTACAATAAGATGCGTCGAATCGAATTGATCCGATGTTTTGGAAAGTTATTGATATACTCGATGTATCGACGTATTTTCATAAAACATTGAATCAACGATAACCAGCCAATGGTAAAATGGTATAGTTACCTATCACTATTAATATTATAACTTCTAAATCAGAAAAACATGCTCTGATTGGGGTTCGAGACAATTAAAAACTGCCAAGTAAATTACCAAAATTTACTATTTAATTACAGAACACTAATTACAACTTATAACTACACTAATAACAAAACAATTGTCCTACAGATCACATTAATTCGCAGTGGTATCGCTTCGAAGTATTCGCTTATATCGCCAATTCAATACTGACTCGGTCGTGGTCTATACCGGCCTTATATAGGGCCTCAGATAGTTTCCAGAACCTTCTACTGTAGCGAAATCTAGAATATTCGAGTACATATCGGTCCCGTTTTCAGTGCCTAGAAGACTGCAATGAAGTGGACTATATGAATGACAAGCTCGTGGAAACTGTCCATGCGGTCGGAGCTAAGTTTTGTAAGACCCGCCACAGAAGAACACAAAAACTCTACGATCACACTCTTAATCTCATGGCTGTTAGACGGGAAATGAAGCTGCAGTCTTCAACAGATTTGACAGCATACAGGCAACTGAACAGACAGATCTCCAAATGCATGCGGCGGGACTTACGCAACTTCAATACAGCTTGTATTGAAGAAGCGATCGAGCGGAATCAAGGCTCCAAAGTCTTTGCCAGGGATTGGTCTGCCAGAAAGAGCCAACTGTCAAAGCTGAAGACCGAGTGTGGCAGCATCGTTTCCGAGGCACCTGAGATTATGAGTGATATTGAGAGGTTCTATGGACAGCTGTACAGTAACGATCCAAGAGCGAGTCTTATCCGACACTATTCCGAAGATATCCCGGACGTCAGTCTGAGCGAGATTAGAATGGCTCTCCAGCATCTTAAAAACGGCAAGGCTCCAGGCGAGGATGGAATTACAGCGGAGCTTCTGAAAGCGGGTGGAAAAGCGGTACTGGAAGTCCTTCAGAGGCTCTTTAATTCCGTCCTCCATGGTGGCATTACACCGGAGGCGTGGAGCAGAAGTGCGGTAGTCTTGTTCTTCAAGAAAGGTGACAATGCTCTCTTGAAGAACTACAGACCGATTTCCCTTCTGAGCCGCGTCTACGTGCTGTTTTCGAGAGTCATTACGAATTGTCTCGCACGCAGACTTGACGACTTCCAGCCTCCCGAACAAGTCGGTTTCCGAAAGGGCTTTACCACCATACACCACATACATACCCTTCGGCAAGTTCTATAGAAGTCCGAGGAGTATAATTTGCCACTATGCCTGGCGTATGTGGACTATGAGAAAGCCTTTGATTCCGTCGAAATTTTGGCGGTACTGCAGTCCCTTCAGCGGTGTCAAATTGACTGTCGATATATCGAAGTGCTGAAGTGCTTGTACAGTAGGGCTACGATGGCTATCCGAGTACAGAACGTTTAACAATATTATTAATACCACAAACAAAAAGTAATAATATTATTAATACCCAAAAACGCAGTAAAATGATATAGATTTCTCTTTTCTTTTAATTAAAATTAATCGAATAAATGTTAATCGATTCATTTTCATTAAAAATAAAATCCGTCCAATAGTCTGCTACGGTGAAACATCTATACAAAAATACATACATACATTGAGTTATATGTACTACGTACTAGAGAAGCCTTTCCGAACATTGACTATGTTCAACTGAACTGTACTGCAATCCGTTCTAACTAAATATTGCGTAAATTGAAGATTTATTTATTTAACAAGTACACTTACAATATACATATATGACATTGTCACAAAAACTTACACACTTTTATATTTTCTGATATGCATATCAATTACAAGTGTACATAACATTTACAGATTGAGTCGTGCAACTTAATTTAGAATTAATTTGAGGTAGGAAAACATACAATCCATGCAATAAAATGAGAAATAATTTAAGTAAATTATGTTACTAAATAGGTAAAAAAATCGAATGAAAAAAAAAAAGAAACCATGTTCAATTATTGGGAAAGAAAATGGTAGATATTGTACTCACTTTAGAAGTATGTACATTTTTAATTTAAGTATAAAATAGATTCTATTAAAAATATAATTTTTAACAGGAACTAATTAACTAGGCGATAAATGCCTAGTAAGTTTAATTTTGAAGGTCTTAAAAGAATCGTGAAATATATCGATGCTAGGTATGGTTTTAGTTATTTCGTTAGACGCCCATTACACGATAGGTTTTGCTGTCAGATTTACAACAATCACGGTTGTGATTGACCTATCGTGTAATGCGGTGATTGACGGTTGCATGACATTGATTGACAAATATCTGGATATTTTGATTTTTACGTCAATCAACTATCAGTCACGAATTTTGATTGAACGTGTAATGGCATTTCGTCAATCACGCGTCAGTCAACGCTCAGACAGCAATGGAGGTGGACGCAGAATATATTGAAGATGCGACTTCCACGCGCTCGCGCAGCCCGTCGCCGCTCCCGCCAAACGTGCTTCAGCCAAAAAGATTTTATTTTAAATTTTGAGGCTCTCCCCGAGTTGTGGGACACGAAAACCCCCGGGTAGGGTGGATGCCCCTAATACCAGCCACGCCCCTAATTCCAGCCTTTCCGCCTTTTTACTTCGTAAATAAGATTTATAGTCGTCTTAACAACAAATACTGTCGGCTAAAAATTCTTCGTAACTAGAGGAAAGTATATTTCAAATATTACCTTATAGTTTTAAACCTAACAGTGTTAAATTAAAAATCAAAAGACGTACGCAACGAAAAACGCTCATCTTCCTAATTTTTTGACAAGTTATGGTCCCGATACAATTAAGCATATTTTACATTAGCTCATCTTTAGGCTTTTTGATTTATATGAATTTGAATATAGACATAGTAATGCAGTTATTTTTGTTTAAATTTACAAGTTTTTTATTTTCTTTTAGTAGAAATTCATGGGGCTGTAATTAGATATACGAAATGTATGGAGTGCTTAATGTCGGCCGCCCGGCTGTTATTTGGTTTGACGTACATATTAAGAAGTACTTAATTTCAGCCACGTAATATAAATCAGGGCTGTCATAAACTGGAATAAATACCATTAATTAGAACATAACTTATTTTATACTTAAAGAAAGTTAAGAAAGTTATGATCAATTCGTCTATATTTTAAAATTGGTTTTTGATTTAAAGTTTAGCAAATGATAAGTACTTGCTTTTGACATTTGGTATATGTTAAGAACACCATACAATATTTAATTATTTTTTGAGAAAGACAAAAACAAACAATAAATGTCATTAACTACAACTTAGTAATACTAATTTTACTATAACTTAAGAACATAAATGAAAAAGTCATAGCAAGGAAAGTGGTTCAGGACCATGCTTTGCGGCAGTCTATGGAGGATGATGTTCTGTAGTGGACTTGTGAAGGGCTAAAATGATGATGAAGATTCAAACACTTGGATGATTAAACTATAAGAAATCGTTGTACTATAATACATAATTTTTATTATAATTTTGTTTTAATTAATTGTTTAGTGTTAAATGAAAAATGGAACTGCTTAAAGCTAAACCACAGTAAGGTAAGAAGTAAAACATTAAAATAAAATAATTGTTGTCGTCTATCTTAATACATATTCCATGCTTGTGACATGCATGATTTTGTTGTTTTGTTATGAATTTATTTCAGTGCCCCTAAAACTTACCTACAATAGGTACCTATCAAAAACTCATAAGGCCCTATGTTATGCTGGCATTAGGTACACAAAAGGAAATTGAAATTGGCACTAAAAGGCTGGTAATAGGGGCATCCACCCTATACGAATAAATGTAAAAGGTAATATTATTGCTCGTCCATAAATGCGTTTCAAATAAAGCCGCATATCGATTATGCGCTCCAAGATTACGTGGTAGAGCCATGCTGCTGCTATATTACTGGTATAGTTGTTGCATGAATGGGACGGCTCGACCGGGGAAGGACCACGCTCTCACAGAATACCAGCGTAAAATAGCAGTGTAACGCTACTGTGTTTCGTATGGTGAGTATAGAGAACTGGAGACCCTTTTTACTGGAAACGAGGCATTCCATCTTACTCCTCACGGGTGGCGACGCATCTTCATTTTGATTTGTAATCGAGGATACATGTAGATGTTTATAAGCCACAGCAACCACTTACCATCAAGTGGACTGTGTGCTCGTTTGTAACCCTTATTCTATAAAAAAAAGGTCGAACATTGGCGCGTCTTAAATTAAAACGGGTAAAATGATATTAAATATTACAATTTTTCCTATTCGTTTTTTTTTTCTTTTTCTTTTTAAGATATTAAATTACAGTTAAATTCATTCATTCATTCATTCATTACAGCCCTTCACAAGTCCACTGCTGAACATAGGCCTCCCCCAAAGAATGCCACAAAGCACGGTCCTGAGCCACCTGCATCCATCGACTTCCTGCATGTCTTACCAGGT